CGTGTACATCGGTATTCGAGTGACGTTTGGTTTAGCTTCACGTGACCCCTTGACCTCGCCTGCACCTTTGCATACGGCCTGCCCTACTCGCCAGGTCCATTGGGGCTGACGCCGTTGCCAGCGTGCCGCCGTACTACGAGCAGCCTGGCTCCATCGATGGTTGGTGGTGTCTCCCGTCTGCACCCATGATGAGGCATGTTGGCAGCCATCGCGGCATGCAAACACACAGCGCAGCAAACAGCACTCGGAGTGCTAACATTGTGGCACTGTGGATGTCGAATTCTTTTCAGAGTTGATTGCTTTCTTGAAGCCCATCGCCGCTGCCGCCCACCCGCTGCCGCTGTACTACTACCACATCCCAGGTGTGTGCTTGTTTGCATATGTATGCGAGTGTGTGTGTGTGTGTGTGTGTGTGTGTGTGCGTGTGTGTGTGTGTGTGTGAACTGTCTGCGAGAGCACCTGTGCGTGGGTTTGTCGCCTCCAATTCTGGTTCTTGTGAGATGCCTCGCGCCACGAACCACTCATCATCACCGCCACGCTTGTGATTTGTGCTCTTCCAGGATCCACGCACTACTCCATCAACGCCCTTGATCTGCTCGATGCCGCCTCCACACAGCTGCCCGTACGTGTGCATGTGTGTGTTTGCGTGTGTTCGTGTATGTGTGTGTGTGTGTGTGGATGGTGAAGAAGTTGCGTTTGGTCGCACTTTATGTGCTCCCTCTCTCTCTGCCCATGCCACCCATCAGTCTTATGTTTCACGCATCGCCGCGACGAAATCCCAACAACAACAACAACAACAACAACAACAACAACAACAACAACAACAACAACAACAACAACAACAACAACAACAACAACAACATACGCACACACCACGACAGGAGCTGCTTGGCATCAAGTTTGTCAGCTCAGACACGCTCGACTGGTACAACATCGTCCAGAAGTACAACTCCTCGCACGTGCTCATGTTTGCGCCCGAACCAAAGCTCCAGTCATTTGCCCTCGGTGCGTGCGCGCGCGCGCGCGCGCGCGTGTGTGTGTGTGTGTGTGTGTGTGTGTGTGTGTGTGTGTGTGTGTGTGTGTGTGTGTGTGTGTGTGTGTGTGTGTTCTTACTTGCCTGCGGTGGGATGGTGTGCTCCTTCCTTGCAGCTGCCTTTCTGTGCGCTGTGCGTTGGGCCAGCCATCTGCGTATCACTGCTCGCTTGCGCTCATGTGCACCACTGCTGTCGCCCCTCGTATGGCTGTGTGTCTTCAGGCCTTGGTCGCGGTACCGTCTTGGCTGAGGACTTCTTTGCGCCCACATACATTCGCATGCAGCGCCACTATGCCCTGTACGTGGCGGTGTGCACGAGCATTGGTGGTGTGCATATGCGAGGGAGCGGCGGCTTGCTTCCGGGAGCGTGTGTGTGTGTGTGTGTGTGTGTGTGTGTGTGTGTGTGTGTGTGTGTGTGTGTGTGTGTGTGTGTGTGTGTGTGTGTGTGTGTGCTTGTGTAGTGAATCGATGGGGTGATGGGAGACACTCTTCTTTCCATACTCCCCTCCCTGCCTTTCTCGCCTGACATCCCATCACGCCAACACACAACGACCACCATCACACTCTCCAGGAACAACCACGGCGCTGCCCAACAAGAGCAGGCGTGGAAATACAAGGTGCAGAGGGAAGAAACGAAGACATGTGTCGCGTTCACTGTTTGGGAACTGGCACCACTTGGCACAGCATGTTCCAACACACACGATCAGGCGCTTGCTTACATATTCTCATTTCGCATTCGCATACACACGCACGTGCGCGCGCGAGCACACACACACACACACACACTCTCTCTCTCTCTCACGCACACTCTCTCACTCACACACTCCTACAATCACACTCACACACACACACACGTGCACGCGCACGCACACACATATTGTCACACCATCTGCTGCGCCATGGTGGCAGGCAATGTCTGTGTTTGGGGAAAACGGGGGCGGGCTGGCGGAGCGCGAGGTGTACAAACACATCAACGGCGTCGATCTTGGGCCGCGTCGCAGGCCAACCGGGTAAGGTGGTGTGCGCGTGCGTGCGTGTGCATGCGTGTGTGTGTGTGTGTGTGTGTGTGTGTGTGTGTGTGTGTGTGTGTGTGTGTGCGTGTGTGTGTGTGTGTGTGTGTGTGTGTGTGTGTGTGTATGCGCGCGCGTGCGTGTGTGCGTGTGTGTGTGCGTGTGTGTGAGGGGGAGGAGACATGGTCTTTTGTGCTGCAAACATAACCTGCGTGCATGAACAGATGATTGAAGCATGCGGCCAGCTTCCCTGCTCACATCAATACACACGCACACGCACACACACACACGTTGTGCGTGTCTGCTGTGTGCTGGCGATGTGCGCAGCACGTTTGATCCAAACAACTTCAAGCCCCTGATCCAAGGCCTGGACTCCATTGGTTTCTTCAACCAGACGTGGTAGACACACACGCACACGCGCACTTGTATCTTCTGCCTTTCCCTTCCTCTTCGTTTGTTGCCTCTTGATTGTTTGCGGGCCGTGGTGAGCGTTCATATGTCACAGGTGTTTGTTGGCGTTTGTACTTGTGCATGTTGTGCGTCTGTTGTAGTGATCATCACATGCTTCCCTGGTCGTTGCTGTGTGTTTGCTGGTTTGCGTCGCCAGCCTGCTTGCACGTGTGCTGTTGTGTCTTTCTTGCTTGAGCAGTTCAAGAGCAATGAAAGAAAAGAACTCTCGTCACGTGATTTGGCCTAACGCAGTATTACAAGCGTGTTATGTACATCACAACCAAACACACTCAGATCAAACAACAACCAACCCCGTGTCAGCAATCACAAGCAGAATGCACAAGCCACGAACACACGCAAAATGCTACCACGTTGCGCCGTCGCCGCCAACAACAGCCGCCTGCGCAGAGATTGGCCTGTCCTCCCACTGGTGTAACGCAACAGCAAGGTCCACATATTGCGTCACCTTCATTTTCTTCAGCGGCGTTTCGGGGTTGATGTTCGTCATCGCAAAGAGGGGCGTGAACTGCGGCCCAAGACCCCTGTTGGCATTCGTTGGTTGGTTGGTTGGTTGGTTGGTTGGTTGGTTGGTTGGTTGGTTGGTTGGTGCGTTGGATGGGTGATTGTGGTCGTTGGATGGATGGTTGGTGAGTTAGTTGGTTGCGGTTGTTGCTTGGTCGGTGAGTTGGTTGGAGGGTTGGTCGGTCAGATGGTTCGTTGGTTGAAAGCTGTTGTTCAATGAATGGAGAGGCAGCCACAAAGCAACAGCGTTCGCACCTCATTGCTTTTCCAATGGTCTTTGCAGTCATTGTCAGGTGTCTAAGAAGAAAATCCAGAACAACAAACGTCTCGTAATTCGCTGTCACCCAAAGCAATGTGTGTGTATGTGTGTGCGTGTGTGTGAGTGTGTGTATATGTGCGTGTGCGTGTGTGTGAGTGTGCGTGTGTGTGAGTGTGTGTGTATATGTGCGTGTGCGTGTGTGTGTGTGTGCGTGTGCGTGTGTGCGTGCGTGTGTGTGTGTATGTATGTGTGTGTGATCTTGAGTCAAGACATTGAATAATTAACCCCCTCCTCCCTGCTCACAGTGGACGCTGTTTGCGTCTTGAAAAGCACCCACACACACGCAGACGCGCGTTGTGGATGACTCACGTATGAGTGGAGAGTAGCGTGGAATGAGTTCAACAAAGTGGACGGTGATGGCGCCGGGACCCTGGTAACGGTTGGGATGTGTGTGATGGTTGGCGGGTTGATGGGCGTGGGTTTGTTGCGTGTTTGAGAATTGGTATGGCGAGCCGACACAAAGCACGAAAGGGCGCGAATACACATACACACGCACACACGCACGCACACACGCACACACGCACGCACACACGCACACAACACATTAAATATACACACACACACACGACAACACCACGCACAGGCACACCAACCTCTGTGCACTTGAGTCGGGGACTGAAGAGGTCGCGGGAGACGGCGGCGAGCTCGTTAACGTGACACAGCACCTGCGCCAGCACTCCCAGCCGCGACCCGGCTGCACTCGCGATCAATAGCGACGCAACAATCATGGTGGTGATGGTGGCCGTGGTGGCAAAACCGTTGAGGTTGGAGATGATGATCCAGGCTGTGCGCCAACCGCGTACACACACACACACACACACACACATATGCACACACACACATATGCACACACGCGCGCACGCACGCGCACACACACACACGCACGCACACACGCACACACACACGCACATACGCACACACGCACACACACGCACATACGCACGCACGCACGCACACCCACGCATGCACGCACATACACATATGCAAGCAAGGGCGGGTGTGGCACGTACTGGAGAAGATGTGTTGCGTCAGGTATCGTGGCAGCGTGAAGTACATGGCAGTCCTCCCCCAATGAAACGGGCCGGACCGCATCGCCACCTGAACACATGTTGGTGTCAAGCGGGCGTGTTGTGTTGGCTCAGTTGCCAACACGCACATGTGTGTCAGGAGCAGTGCTATTGCGGCGATGAATGGAAGCAACTGTCGAATATATAGCCACCAAATGACCAAGCGAGGTCCTTTTCACCACACACACACACACCTTGTACAACAGGTTGAAGATGAAGACAGATCCAGACACCGCATTGGTCTGTCCGGCAAGAGCAAACGAAGAGCCTAGTGGTGATGGTGGTGATGATGAGATGTGACGATGAGATGTGGTGGGAATTGTTCTACAGGCGATGGTATCGTCCACATGACAGTCTTTCGAGCACGGCAGGGCAGGTGGAAAGACGAAGCCACTGCAGCCACTGCCACGGCACAGATGTGACAGCATTCACGTGCAGCAGGTTCTAAATTGTGTACGTGTGCGGAGGAACGTACGAACGAGCCACTGGCGGGAAGGGAAGTCGTCGAACAGAACTTCGCTTGGGGGGCAGCCTGAATGACACCCAAATAGCGGCAACGCAGATCATATAGGGGTAAGGTCGCAGCAGGCGACGCACACATAGCAACACGTGCATGCACCACGGTCACACATGTACGCATGCATGCACATGCACGTGGGCAGACGCGCACACGAATGTGCAAACGCGCACGCCCGCGCGCACATGTACGCCTACCATCTGGAAGATCCAGCTTCTGCATATCGCCGTGGACGAGTTTCACGCGTTTCTCGCCCAGCGCTTCCTGGAATGCCTGCAAGCACGCACCAGCGGCACACACTATGGTGAGCAGTCGCATATGCTTGTTATGTAACCTTCTCTTCCTGGATACGTGTGCACAAACACAACACAAGCGCACACACGCAACGCATGCACATAAACGCACACGATTGCGCGCACATGCGCATGCATATGCACATGCAGATGTGCGCACACGAATGCACGCACGCACATGTGAACATACAAACTCACACACACACATGAATATACAAACATATCGACACGCACATGGACTTGTGGGTGGAGGTGTTTGTTCTGACGGTCGCCTGTGTTTGTAACAATTGTGACGGACTTGGCACCGTGGTTCAGCAGAGCCCGAGTAAACAGCATCGTGTCTACGTGGTCATGATGCCGTGGTGAGAGCGATGCTGCAACGGTGCACTCACGAACACACGCACACACACATGTAGTACATCACAAAGTCGCGCCCATCACACAAACACACACACACACACACAAACACACAAACACACAAACACACAAACACACAAACACACAAACACACAAACACAACACGCACACGCACACGCACACGCACACAACACAACACAACACACACAGGGCACGGTGTGCGTACGTACATGGGTTTGATTCCACGATATGCAGCTTATCCAGTCCAGGAATGAGACTTGCAAACGCATCTGACCACAATCAATCCCAATGCATGTATGCGTGTGTGAGAACGACCGTACAATCACATGTGCATGCACCCCCATCAAATACTTCAACGAGCACACACGCACACATGATTCACACGCACACGCATGCACGCACGCACACACTAATCCTACCTGCAATGCCGTAGTTTGTGATGGCAAAGCGACGCAGGCTTGCCGTATGGGGTCGGTTGGCTTTGCTGTTATTCCGCATCTGTAGCATGAAGAGCATGGAAGGAGGTGATACATTGTAGATGACGGCACATCAGTCTCTTTCGCTCCCATCGGTCAAGAAACAAGTCAACACTCTTCCCAACCCTAAGCTCGCACCTTATCCAAACTATGCATACACGCATGCTTACAAACACATGCGTATGCACACACACACAACCATAGACGACCATAGACAACCACACACAGCAAACAAACAAACAAACAAACAAACAAACAAACAAACAAACAAACAAACAAACAAACAAACAAACACCTGGAACGACTTGAGGATGGCGGGAATGTCCGGTAACGGTATGGAGGAGAGGGGCCCTTCTGGTGGCGTTGGAATGTCTTGCGCAGAGTTGATGACGAGTGGTATGCGACGATCACACACTGGAACCACGTTTACTGGCTGGCTGTGGGAAGCATCATTGTCACCATCAAGTTCGCCTGCAGATTGCTCCTCCCCTGTTTGGATCCTCCGCTGCTTCTCCTTCATTTGTTGCTGTGTAGTTGTGTTGGCTGTGCCCGCCCGATCAGCTTCAACCGCGCTGGGACCCTGGGTGCCGCTGTTGGCTGGGTCGTGGCCTGCACTTGGATCCGCCAAGCCCGGCGCCTGCTGGTCTGCCTTGCGCGCTTTGTGCTCGAGTTCAGCTGTCTTCTTTTCCTCCTCCTCCTCTTCTTGGTTTGCCAGTGCCAGCATGGCTTTTGCAAACTCAGGTTGCTGCATGTGTGCGGGTATCTGTGGTAGCTTCACGCCGCCAGCTGTGGTGATGGGGTCGCTGTCAGGCATGCCGCCATTCTTGCTGCGGGCCCTTCTGCGACCGGGTCTTGTTGTCGAGGCTTTGTCGTTGCCGTCTGCAGGTGCACTTGGAGGTCGCGCACGCCAAGCAATTGTGGCGGTTGAAAACGCTGCGTTCTGCCGGAGGTGTGCCATGTCGCAGCGGCAGCTGATGGTGTGTTGGTGACGTGCAATGGGGAGTGCACCACCAAACCAGTGCTTGTGGGTGTGCCCGTGGCCACATGAGGCAGCGTTGCGCGCTTGCATCATCAAGTGTGAGTGCAGCCTCATTGCTGCCTTTCCTCCCTTCATCTTGTGTATCAGTCAGCTGTTGTGAGAACAAAGAAGAAGACACAACAACAACCCCGTTCACATCACAACTACCGCAATCACGCTCACTTCCACATGCACGACCTCCACAGCCGTCCGCCTTTTTGTTGTGCCGTGTTGCGAGCTTAGATGTTTCCGTGTGTCGTGGCGTCGCACGGGCTCTCACGACAAAAACAAGCTCAACACGATAAAATGCAATCATCGTGAGTCATCATTACGGACGAATATTCGCGGCTTCTCCAGCCAATAATCGGAGCACAGGCGACGCAAGCAGCAGGGCAAAGGTGCGGCTCTTGGCAGCTGTGCTGTGTTGGTGTTTCGTTTGTTGGCTTGGCTTTGCCCGCACCCCATTTTCCAGCCCATCATAACCAACAACAAGAGCAACAACAACAACCACCACGACCACCGCCGACACACACGTCCACGTACGCCTCTCTCCAAGAGCAACCAAAGCAAGACAGTCCACACAAGAGAACGCGCATACCACGTCTCACCTTCCTCTCCCTTTCAACACAACACAACTATGGCGTCCTTCAAGGAGCAGTTTACCCTTCGTGAGTGGGCAGTTGCTGAGTTGTTGTGTTGTCGTCGGATTTTGTTTGGGTTTTGCCTGCCCTGACGTGGCTCGCTGCTGTGTTGTCATCGTCACAAGTGCAAGTGTTGTGATGTGTTGTGATGTGGTGCGGTGTGGTGCTGTGGCGTTACTTCAGCACGCCATTGCATGATACATGTGTGCACATGCATGCGGGCTTGTGTGTGAGTGCGGTGTCCTCGTTTGCGTGTGTCCTTTTGTTTGCATCGTTTTCGTGGCTGCGATCGCACGTATCGTTCCTCTCTCACGCATGTGTGTGTGTGTGTGTGCAGAACAACGCATTGAGCAGGCGAACCGCATCAAGCAGAAGTACAGCGATCGCATCCCGTAAGTGCGGAAAAGTACAAGAAGTCCAACTGCCCGACATTGAGAAGAAGAAGTACCTGCTCCAAGATGACCTCACAGTCAACCAGTTCCAGTACGTGATCCGCCAGCGGTTCAAGCTCACCTCGGATCAGGCCCTCTTCACATACGTCGTGCACGAGAAGACGCCCGGCAAGCCCAAGACAATCCTCCCCTGCCGTCACGTACGTCTCGTTTGTTTTGTTTGTGTGTGTTTGTGTGTTTGTGTGTGTGTGTGTGTGTGTGTGTGTGTGTAAGAATGTGTACGCGCGTGCGTGGTGTGTGTGTGTGTGTGTGTGTGTGTGTGTGTGTGTGCTTTTGCAGACATTGGTGCGTGCGTGATGCTGAGAACGCGCAATTGCTTGGGCCGTGGCGCTGCGCCATTCGTCGTCTCACGCATGATCTTGTCCCTGTCACTTCTCACTTACAGGCGGACAATGGGCGAGATCTACAAGGAGCACCAAGACGAAGACGGGTTCTTGTACATGATCTACGCAAATGATGAAGTGTACGGTGGCTGCGAGCAGCAACAGGACAAGTGACCGTTGTCCCGTCTCTTCATGACCGCTGTGATTTGATGTAAACCCACCATCCACTCTTCTTTCCTTTCTCCCTTTCTTCCCTTTGTCTTTCTTTCTTTCTGTCGTTTGCTCTTGATGCCATTCCCGCTGCCGGTTTTCAATTGTGCGCCATCTTGGCCTTGTCGAGTTATGCACGTGATCCATGCGTGGTGTGGTTGATTGTGTGTTGTTGATGCGTTCGCGTGTGCTTGCATGGCTCTGCACGACTTGATGTGAATGTTGTTCGTCATCACCATAAGTGACCGATTCTGTGTCTTCATGTGTGTGTGTGTGCGGGGCTCACTGCTGCAATTTCTTGTTCCTTTTTTTTTTTGTTACTTCTTTCATACATATGTGCGTGGCGCCGCTCTGCATGCTTGTCCCCCCCCCCCCTGTCTCGTGACTGCATGCCCCTTGTCGTTGGCGTTTTTTGTTCGCTGTTGTGTGTATGTGGTGTCACAAACGTGTCTAATACAAAGCAAG